GGTTGGTTATGTTGTGAAAAGTGAGCGCTGGATGAAATAATTGTTGAGTCAATGTTTTCTTTGGTTTTTTCCGGTAAAGTTTCACTAGGTAGCAATCCTTTGCCCCCCCCAGAATACGTGGGGCAGCCCGAGCTATGCTCAGGAGGGATTCTCCGGCTTCGCCGGTACCCTCCTGGGGTAGATTATCTTTAAGTCTTGCTTCTTCCATAGTAAGTGTAATTTTTTCCTTTTGGGTTGTCTTCCCTTTCCTTGCTTTTGCCAGATGATTCGGTTATGGCGCCGAAGATTCGCCTTCGTTCTTCATACTCAGCTGCTTACGGTCACGAGGTAGATGATAAGTACGGGGCTCGTAACAGGCCGCAGCATTGCCCGGAGGGGACGACCCACACCGATGAAAGTATGTGGGCCCATCACTAGACCGCGTCGGCAGTCTAGAGATGGCGGGACGTGTATGAAGAACTTGTCGATGTGCGCCTGTCAGCCTAGCTCCGTACACCTAGGCGTGCGCTAGCTGGCAATCTTAGCATTTTTTAGGTGCATGTCCCTGGCAAAAAGAACACGCCCCACTAAGACCTACATCGACCCACCCCCCCAAATGATAATGGTATGAGAGATGTATATAAATATTTTTCTGAGCGGCGCTTACTGATGTTGCGATTAACGTTGACTGTAATAAATGTGATTACATCGTAATGTGACCGAAACTTAAATCGGTATTCTGCTAGTCTTAGTAATGCTTTACTGCGAGAAACCTTTCATGACAATTGTTGATGGAGAGTAGATCGGTATTGAATTTTGAATGAATCATTATTGCGAGATTTTTTTTTGTTGAATTGACCTTCTGTTATTACACCAAAAAATTGTTTTCAGGCACTTATTTAGGTATTTTCTTCACATAATGTGTTTAATAACTACTGACTGTTTTATTGGTTCATATATCCCCTCGATTAGACGATATTATTAAAGTTTAAGAGCGATAAGGGGGTACGCCGTTAAATATAGCGATTCAGAGCTCTGATACGGCTAGGCGCAGGCGCTCTTTTCTTTATTGTCAATAGACGAGAATTGCAGTTCCCAAAGCCCTACGAAATAAAATAAAATATTTATAAAGAATATCATTATCAAAATAATATGTTTCTGTTTAACAGAGGCGCAACCAAACGAAGAAGAATCTCTCGACATAGCATCGTCACTACTGCCTCCGCACTACGTAAAACTAAAGGTGAACAAACCGTGTGGTTCCCTCTGCGGGAGGAAGCTCGATGACCCTGAGAGCTCACTGACTCAGTGTGAATGTAATCCTCTCGATGAAGACCCTTGTGGACCATATTCCAGTGTCTAAATAGGTAAGAACAATTATAGTTGTATTGTACTACAACTTCGGCTGCGTCTCTCAAAAGGAATAAATTTTCCCCGTTTTGCAATTTTTTCATTGATGCTCGGCTATTATTGGTCGTAGCGTGATTATTATAATAGCCTATAGCCTTCATCGATAAATGGGCTATCAAATACTAAAAGAATTTTTTCAATTCGAACCAGTAGTTCCTGAGATTAGCGCTTTCAACCAAACAAGTATAGCTGCCTGTAATTTATGCTACTATAGTTTCGAGACATTATTATTATTATAAGATCATTTTTGTACACTTGGTTGGCAAATAAAGATTGATTTGATTAATTTAAAAATGGCTCCCATGTTAGTCATTATCATAATGTATGCAAGCAAGCAAGGTTTTAAAACACATACTTTATTAATTTGATTGAATTTGTACATTCTAACATGTATTTTTACACGCTTTATATTAGCTTCACTTGTATGTTTGTTTTGTACTCGTATGTTTGTAACCGACTCCTTTGGGCGCGATTTTCACTGACTTTAAACGGTCAGGAATTCGATTCAAACTTTGTAGATATATCGTGGACAGATGACAATACACTAACTTAAAAAAAAATATATATATTCTTTTTTAGTTTTTTAAAACTATATTTACTTTTTATCTAATAATTAAGAAATTGTCTGCACTTGTTGACATATGACGTAGGTTTTAGGACTTCAAATAATTTTCTTATTCATAGTATAAAATCCTGACCCATCGATTAGTATGATAGTAAGCCTCCCTTAAATTGTTGCTTATTCAACGGAAAGTAAATATTCTGATTTAGTATCCTAGTAAACCTCCTTAAATCGTTGCTTATCAACGGAAAGTAAATATTCTGATTTAGTATCCTAGTAAACCTCCTTAAATCGGTGCTTATTCAACGGAAAGTAAATATTCTGATTTAGTATCCTAGTAAACCTCCTTAAATCGTTGCTTTTTCAATGGAAAGTAAATATTCTGATTTAGTATCCTAGTAAACCTCCTTAAATCGTTGCTTTTTCAACGGAAAGTAAATATTCTGATTTAGTATCCTAGTACAAACCTCCTTAAATCGTTGCTTTATTCAACGGAAAGTAAATATTCTGATTTAGTATCCTAGTAAAACCATCCTTTAAATCGTTGCTTTTTCAACGGAAAGTAAATGATTCTGATTGTAGTAGTCCTAGTAAAACCTCCATCTAAATCGTTGCTTTTCAAGGGAAAGTAAGGATATTCTGATTTAGTAATTCCTATTAAAGACACCTCCTTAAATCGTTGCGTTATTCACAACGGAAAGTAAATATTCTGATTTAGTAATCCCTATACATCCTTGTCATCAGTTTTATTTATCAACGGAGATATTCGATTAGTATCCTAGTACAACACCTCCTTAAATCGTTGCTTTTTCAAACGGGAAAGTAAATATTATGATTTAGTATCCTAGTAAACTCCTAAATCCGTTGCTTTTTCAACGTGAAAGTACATATTGCTGATTTAGTATCCTAGTAAACCTCCTTAAATCGTTGCTTTTCTATACGGAAAGTAAATATTCGATTTAGTATCCTAGTAAAACCTCCTTAAATCGTTGCTTTATTCAAACGGAAAGTAAATATTTGATTTAGTATCCTAGTAAACCCTCCTTAAATCGTTGCCTTATTCAACGGAAAGTAAATATCTTGATTTAGTATCCTAGTAAACCTCCTTAAATCGTTGCTTTTTCAACGGAAAGTAAATATTCTGATTTAGTATCCTAGTAAACCTCCCTTAAATCGTTGCTTTTTCAACGGAAAGTAAATATTCTGATTTAGTATCCTAGTAAACCTCCCTTAATCGTTGCTCTTTTCAACGGAAAGTAAATATTCTGATTTAGTATCCTAGTAAAACCTCCTTAAATCGTTGCTTATTCAACGAAAGTAAAATATTGTGATTTAGTATCTTAGAAACCTCATTTAAAAAAAAAATTTTTCCGGGTCTTTGGTTCGCCTTTTTCAACGCGAAAGTAAATATCTGATTTAGTGATCCTAGTAAACCTCCTTAAATCGTTGCTTTTTCAACGGAAAGTAATATTCTGATTAGTATCTCACGAAACTCCTTTAAATCGTTGGCTTATTCAAAGGAAGTAAATATTGTGAGTTAGTATCCCTAGGTAAACCTCCCCGGTATAATCGTTGCTTTTTCGAACGATGAAAGTAAATATTTCTGATTTTAGTATCCTCGTAAACTCCTTAAATCGTTGCTTTCAAGGAAAGTAAATATTCTTGATTTAGTATCCTAGTAAACCTCACTTAATCGTTGCTTTTCAACGAAAGTAAAATATTATGATTTTAGTATCCTAGTAAACCTCCTAAAATCGTTGCTTATTCAACGAAAGTAAATATTGGAGTTAGTATCCTAGTAAAACCTCCTTAAATCGTTGCTTTTTAACGGAAAGTAATATTCTGATTTAGTATCCTAGTAACTCCTTTAAACGTTGCTTTTTCAACGGAAAGAAATATTCTCATTTAGGTATCCGTAGTAACCTCCCTTAATCGTTGCTTTTCAACGGAGAAAGTAACTATTCTGATTTTAGTCATCCTAGTAAACTCCTTAAATCGTTGCTTATTCAACGGACAAGTAAAATATTGTGATTAGTATCCTAGTAAACCTCCTTAAATCGTTGCTTTTCAACGGAAAGTAAATATTCTGATTTAGTCTATCCCTAGTAAACCTCCTAAAATCGTTGCTTTTCAACGGAAAGTAAATATTCGATTTATATCCTAGTAAACCTCCCTTAATCGTTGCTTTTTCAACGGAAAGTAAAATATTCTGATTTGTATCCTAGTAAACCTCCTTAAATCGTGCTTATTCAACGGATAAGAAATATTCTGATTTCAGATCCTAGTAAACCTCTTAAAATCGTTGCTTATTCAACGGAAAGAAATATTCTGATTAGTATCCTAGTAAACACTCCCTTAATCGTTGCTTTTTCAACGGAAGTAAATATTCGATTTAGTATCCTATGTTAAATCCTCCTTAAATCGTCTGCTTTATTCAACGGAAAGTAAAATATTGTGAATTAGTATCCTAGGTAAACCTCCTTAAATCGTTGCTTATCAACGGAAAGTAAATATTCTGACTTTAGTAATCTAGGTAAACCTCCTTAAATCGTTGCTTTTGCAACGGAAAGTATAAATATTCTGATGTAGTATCCTAGAAACCTCCCTATAATCGTTGCTTTTCAACGGAAAGTAAATCATCTGATTTAGATATCTAGTAAACTCCTTAAATTCGTTGCTTTTTCAACGGAAAGTAAAATGTGATTTAGTATCCTAGTAAACCTCCTAAATCGTTGGAATTATTCAACGGAAAGTAAATATTGTGATTAGTTATCCTAGTAAACCTCTTAAAATCGTTGCTTTTTCAAACACCGGAAGTAAATATTCTGATTTAGTATCTAGTAACTCCCTAATCGTTGCTTTTTCCACGGAAAGTAAATATTCTGATTTTAGTATCCTAGTAACCTCCTTAAATCGTTGCTTATTCAACGAAAGTAAATATTATGATTTAGTATCTATGTAAAACATCCTTAAAATCGTCACGTTATTCAACGGAAAGTAAATATTCTGATTAGTATCTAGTAAACCCCTTAAATCGTTGCTTTTTTCAACGGAAAGTAAATATTCTGGTTAGTATCCTAGTAAAACCTCCCTTAATCGTGCTTTTTTCACGGAAAGGCAAATATTCTGATGTTAGAGTATCCTAGAAACCTCCTTAAATCGTTGCTATTCAACGGAAAGTAAAATATTGTGATTAGTGATCCTAGTAAACCTCCTTAAATCGTTGCTTTCAACGGAAAGTAAATATTCTGATTTAGTATCCTAGTAAACCTCTTAAATCGTTGCTTTCTCAACGGAAAGTAAATATTTCTGATTTAGTATCCTAGTAAACCTCCTTAAATCGTTGCTTTTTTCAACGGAAAGTAAATATTCTGATTTAGTATTCCTAGTAAACCTCTTAAATCGTTGCTTATTCTAACGGAAAGTAATACTTGCTGATTAGTATCCTAGTAAAACCTCCTTTAAATCGGTTGCTTTTCAAACGGAAAGTAAATATTCTGATTTAGTATCCTAGGTAAACCTCCTTAAATCGTTGCTTTTCAACGGAAAGAAATATCTGATTTTACGTATCCTAGTAAACCTCCTTAAATCGTTGCTTTTTCAAACGGAACAGTAAAATATTCTGATTTAAGTATCCTAGTAAACCCTCCTTAAATCGTTGCTTATTCAACGGAAAGTAAATATTCTGATTTGTATCCTAGTAAACCTCCTAAATCGTTGCTTGTTCAACGGAAGTAAATATTCTGGTAGTATCCTACGTAAACCTCCTTAAATCGTTGCTTTTACCCGGCAGTGTTTAGTCCCTTTTTCAACCACTGTAGGTAAAAGAGACCATAATGTCCTATTTAAAAACGTATGTTTCCAGGATGCTGCTAAACGGAGGTGCGGGCCTACATGTAGAGCGGGTGATCGCTGCTCTGCAACAACCGCGCCTTCGAGAAGCGCCCCTCTACCCAAAATGGTCCCGTAAGATACGCCCAGCAGGGGATGGGGGACTCAAAACCCTTGAGGTATAAAAGCTGGATGTTTTCCTATTACATATAAATTGACTTTTTAATAGTCACTCTACTTTTTTGATGATTAGGAAACACATGTAGTTTCATTGCAAGTGTTGTTATAATCCAATACAAACTTAAGTTTGAAGGCGGCTCCTGAAGTTGGGGGGCGTAGCGCGCACCACAGGTGTAAGCAGGTAGCTACAGTCAAGTCGACTCGATTGTATCGTAGACAGGAATATTGTGCGCATGTGCAGTGTACGAGTAACATTTTAACATGCCGTTCACGGTATAATAGTAACCAAAATTACTAGTATTCCCGGTAACCTCTCCGCTAAGCTAAAGTGCTTGTGTTTAGGAGGGGTTCCACGTCTGTAGTGTACCTGGTCAGATTTGAACCCACGCCCTTTGATCGCTTAAGCACTAGGATTAACTACACACTACAAAGCCATGCGTGTCGTGTTTTCGCCCTATCCCCGCGCTCCTAGTGCGTCGCGCTGCTGTCTAATATAAAGCGTTGTATGATGGTGTTCTCCGCATCAAAAACGGCGGATGTTGCATAGCCGCCATTTAGTTTGCATCGGATTTGCTACCTAAATCCATCTTGTTTTTTGCTAAAGGTTAACATTACTTCGTTACTGTAAAGGGGGGGTTTAGAAGAAAATTCTAATAACTTTTGGCATTAAAAAAAATGAGACTGTCTTCTTTGGTGAAAGTAAAAAGGCCCTCTGTTAGTAAAAAAAGGCCCGTTGGCCTGCCGAATCTTTCCACAGACGCGTTCACTACTTGAAAACTAGTTTCAGGAGGCATTGTGTTTAATCACATATACTCGATCGTCACGGTGGACCGCGTTCGGATGCCCCCTTTAATTTTCCGTGCGGAAATCCCCTCATTGAAACTCTTCACAATCGCAAACGCTTAAACACGGCCGCACTCGTGAGCGAGTGTATGTGAAATAAACCACACAAGTCCCTATGATGTATTATTTCTTAACATAGAGAAATATGGTTTTATCGTAGTTATTCCTTGGTTGTTATCAACCAAAGACTTTCTCTCCTTAATTTAGTATTTACCGTAACAAACAGAAAGGGATCAATGTTCTTATGCACTTCAACTGGATGGCGTAGTCGGTTTGTGTAACGGATGTCTACTCCAAACGGGTCGCTGGTTCGATTCCCGCTCAAGTCAAACATTTGTGTGCATGAACATTTGATGTTAATTTGGGTCTGGGGTGTCTATGTACTAATATGTTGGATTTACACAAAAAAAAGTATATAGTATTTAATAATCAGCTGTCTCGACCCATAGTACAAGCTCTGCTTAGTTTGGGACTAGATGCGTTGTGGATGTGGGTAGAAATATATTATTACTAGCGACCCGAAAGACGTTTGTCCTGTCAAATTTGTAGCGCCGTTCTGTCGGATCCAATGTAAACACATTCACCAAAATCAACAACTACTAATAAATTAAATTAATTAAAAAAAACATGTCCAGCGGACAAAAGTGTGAATCTAAACCCATCCCAGATCCCATTGAAAAAACACACACAAAAAATTTCATCAAAATCTGGTCCATGTCGTTTGAGAGAAGTTCAGTGACATACACACTCACAGAAGAATTATATATATAAAGATTACTTCTCCATTTTCATGTTTTCAGGAACAATTTGTGATAGGAATATGTGGGGAATTAATAGACGAAGAGGGAGTTCAGAGGAGATGCGTTAGTAGAAAGTCACGAGATCAGAGATGAAAAACTTTGACTTCTGACGCTAGACAAGGAGAGGATGATCGACGCTGGACCAAGGACAAATCTGCTAGGTAACTTCTTTCAACAACTAACATAACAGTAGATTGCACTTTAAAAAATATAAAGTAAACTCTGCAATAACGGAAAGACAAAATGCTTTTCTCAATATTAATTTATAACTTTCTTCTTTTTTAATAGTTATTATTTAAAAAAGAAAAAAGTTAGAAATCCACACGCGGTAGTCTTGATCAGAACTAGGCAGCGCTGTTCTATGGGTTGCTATAAAGCCTTGATATAAAGCTGGTTGTACTATCATTCTAAATAATACACATTACAGATAAATTACACCCAGACACAGAACAAAGGATCTTGCCTCATCTACAAAACATTGTCCCGGATGGGAATCGAACGCTCGGCCACTCCAGCTTAGTAGGTCCAGGGTAACTAAGGGGGGGACTAAGCCAGTCGAGTATAATCATTAATAGATCGCGCTGTTTCAGTTAGTATTAAATGTATGTGGTTGCTTTTGGATGTCATCATAACCTTTTCTACCAGAGCTTGTCTCCTTTACTTATTACACGAAATTAAACGTAAAAGAAATTAGTTTTTCGTGAATTTAAAGTAAAGATACAAAATCTAGATCTTGGCACATCGAAATGCTGTTTTAAGATATTTTTCCTATTCCTTTAACTTTTGTTAGTAGTATATTTAAACAACTTAAGCATCAATGTGTTAGAAAAACTCCTCAAAATGGGCATAACGCTTTCTCATTAAAAAGCTTACTTAAAAGATGCGTAATCTTCTAGGTTTATGTAATCACTGCTGCGAGCCGAACTGACAGGAAACTCAGAGAAGTGGGGACGGTGCTCGGCGATGTGCGAGTGGACTGTTCGCGCTGTACGACATCAAAGCTGTAAGTGTTATCATTTAAGTGAGGCCCAAGTGCGGTTTATTTTACATCTTAATCGTCTAAATCGTCAACGGTGCACTGCGTTCGGCACTGCAATTGACCCGCACTGAAATTTTAACACATCGCAATGCAGAACAGCCCGCTGCGAGAGTTAGTTGATGTAAAATAAACTCGCACTGACTTCTCTGATATAGGATATTCTACTTTCTAAGAAAGCAGAAGGTAGTGACTGTGTTTAGGTCTATAGCAATAATGTAAAAAAAACTAATTTTAAAATGCATAATCATAAAATTAGGGACATATCAATACTAGCGACCCAGTTTTGTATCGTTTGTAACCCCTATCTGTGACAACCTGTAGTATACGCCAAGACCCGAATAGCACTAGTTTCTCTAGTTTTCACATATTATTAATTAAATATGGTTTCATATTATTTTGAAAGCGAAGTTAAAAAAGTGTCTGAACATGTGTGTCAGACTCTATATATACAACGCTTGCCATTATGTGATAGATTAAGTGACAAAAACTAAACGCCCTTCCCCCTTGTGACCAAGGGGGTATTTTTAAGTGCACCCCATCCCTGATAGATAAAGTCAGTATGTCCCTTACTGTATGATTGATACAAAATTTCACATTATTACACAAGAGCGAGTTATACAGATTTCAGTTGCAGGCATTGTATATTGATTGTCGATTCAGTTGAAACTTTTTATATAAGCTTGATCTGTATCTATGTAACGGAATCTTTTTAAACACAGTTTTATTACAACTTCAATAGATGAGAGTATAAAACTCCAGGAACAAAGTAAATCAATTGTAGTTTAAATAGCCTAAACAAACTTAACAAGTAGCAATAATTTTTAATTGACTTTGGTGTCATGAGAACACTTAACCATGTGCGTAAAGTTTCATGCTCATCGGTTGAGTACTTAACCTAATAAAGTTTTACAAAAAAAAAACTTCATTTAACTCGTTTTGCCCTCTTCAAAAGTACAGTAGTCAATACAGTCGCTTTTTTTGGGGGGGGTAGGGTTAGATCTATAAAGTTTTTTTACGGGGTTTTTTCCACAACGGGAAACAGTGATTCAAGAAGGGGGTTTTATAGGTTAATTATTCATTTTAGGGTAGGGAAATTTCCGAAATTTTTCAAGTTTTTTGAAGTGAATTTTTAAAAAATTTCATTTTTTTTGTGCGTTTACAAACATTTAACTTATGAAAGAAAAAACTTTTCCCTTTTAAACAAAAATTTATAGAAAAACCCGCCGTAAGTTTGGGCCCCTCCTGATGGTTTGGGGGGCCCGGGGGGGGGGGTAAATGCCCCGGGCCCTATACATAAACAAAATGTACTAACTCGAATTTCAGTTTTTAATTTGTTTGAGTTTTTAATCTCCCAACAGGGTTTGTAAAAAAATCAAATTTTTTTCCAGGTTTAAAATGCAGTGTTTGAAAGGGTTTTGAGATTAATTTTTAAATTTAAATACTTTTTAAAAAAATTTTTAAATAAAATCCCCTTTTATTTTCATCATAAAAAATTTAAATTTCGATAAAATTTTAAAAAATTTAAAGGTAAAATAATAAATATTCTTTATTAAAACCCTTTAACAGTGGGTTTCCTCGAAAACCGAACTTCAAGTTTTTAAATCTTTTTGTGACGCAAGTCGGCAGTTTAACCATTTTTAAAAATAATCCCCGTTTGAAACAGTTTTTAGAAAAATAACACGTACAGCCCTAATTTTACGTCGCACTGCCGGGGGACAGCGCGCACTAGCTAATTGGTTGAATGGGACCCCCCCCCCCCGCGGGCCCCCAAACCATCAGGGGGGTTTAAGCTTACGGGGTTTTTAAATATAGTTTCGAAAAAAAGAAATAAATTTTTTTTATTTTTAAAAAATGGTTTTTGAAACTTGGGTTTTGTAGGCGGCCGAAGGGGTTAAAATTTTAAAAATACGCTCAAACGTTCCTTTAGCCGTATTACGGTAAACCCGGGCGCTGAAAAAATTCTTTTATATATCTAAAAAAAAAAAAATCATAGATAAATTACACCAAGGGCCCAAAAAGGGAAAGACCGTGCTTATACACAATATTTTCCCATGTTTAAACGAAACCCTAACCGGGCATACAACCGGCCCGGGAAATATTTGTTTTGGGGAAAGTGTGTGGAGTAAAAGTGTGTACAAAATTTATTTTTTAAACGTAAAATCTTTTGCTTTCCCAGTATTCCGACTGTTACCAGAAACCAAAACCAAAAAATGTTTTTTTCTTACTTAATTTAAAAATTAATTTTTTTATTTAACAGCACAAATTTAAATGACGTTCAAATACAATTTTGGAAATTCGCTGGAATCGACAAGAAACGGGTATGTTTGGGGCCCAAAAAGGGGTTCAGGGTTTTATCGGGGCTAAAAACCCAAAAAAGGTAAAGAGTTTTTTTTTTCCTTACGTGGCCCTGCCCTATTGGATTTTCCCAAAAAAAAAATGTTATAAAACTCCAAGCCCATAGATTTAGTATTACAAACAAAACCCAATAACCCATGTTAGTAAAAAAATTATAAAAAAAATTTTGGAAAATGTACATGTATACATGGGGAGTTCAACGAATTATAACCCATGCCGCTTAATAAAACCTTTCCCCTGGCCCAACCCCAAAACCCCCCTCTGCAAAAACCTTTAGCATGCTGTTGTTAAAATTTTGGAAAACGTTTGAGAAAATAACAGGCTGTCAAAACTGTGCCATCAAATTGGGTTTAAAAATTATATATACTTTTGTTTGTTTTTTCAAGAGAAATTAAATTATAGCTGTTTTTAAAATGTGTAAGAAAAACTTTTTCTTTTAGTTTTTATAAGCACCAAAAAAAATTGTAGTAATCTATAATTTCCTTTATACTGTATAAGTATTATAAAACATCCCAATTTTAGTTTTATAGGACAATTTTTGCTTAGTTTTTAAACTAGAAAGGGCCGGGTTTTGTTCAGATTCCGGAAATTTAAAAACACAGACTGCACCACCCCTAAATTCCCTCCCGGGGGTGTTGTAAGAGTCAAAATAAGGGAAAAAAATACGCAGAACAACAAACTGCAAAAGAGAAAAAAAAATTTTTGGGGCAAAAAAACCCATACCAAAAACCCCTCTGGGGCCCCCCCTGGCCAAAGGGATATCCCTTATTCTGAAATCTTGATGGGAAAATTTTATTTTGTTAATAAATTAAAAAATTTTTTAATTTCATTTTTTAGCTATCTTAAAATAGGCACTTTTTTTTGAAAAATTTTTGGAAAAAATTGGGGGACATACTGAAAACTTCCGGGCAGTTAGGAGTTTTTTTAATTTTCTGATAAAAAATGAAAAAATCTCAAAATAACCTTTTTCCCCCCATTTCTGATTTTCCCCAAATATTTTTTTTTTTTAAAAATGATCGAAAAGAAATTTTCCCAAAAATGTACATTCAGTACGATTTCTTTGAAAGGTTAAGGTTAATTTTTAAAATAAAATAACAAAATTTATATGAAATAAAATGATTTTTTAAACGTTAATTGAATCAGTGAATTCTTTTTTTGTTTAATTTTGGGGTAAAAAACTCAATTTCTGAAATACCCGCTGCATTGTAAAACTCCCCTCGGGGAGGGGTAAATGCTATATATCCAATTTTTCCAAAATTCACAAAATTTTCAACTCCCAGTTTCTAAAAACCCAAATTTACCATTAAAAAAAAAACAAAAAATTTATAAATATATAAAAAAAAACAATCATAAAACCCCTAAAACAAAAATAAATCTTTTGAAAAAAATCGGTTATCCGCTTTGTAATTCAAAAAAGATTATTTTAAAGTCCCCAGAAAAAATTTTTTTTATTTTTAAATGAAAGGGGTTTTTTTTTATTTTAAGCCCTTGGGAAATTTTTATTCTTTTTTTGAGATAAAATACTTTTAAGCAAATACATTTCAGTTTTAAATTTTGGGCAATCCTTCGAATTTTGTGGTTCTACTTTTCACATCATAACTGCTAAAAAACATCGATGGTTATTTTTTTGGTCTCATAGGGCCGGGGAACGCATTTATAAGAGCGGTTTTCCATAGGATCAGTGGTCATTACCATCAGGTTTCCCCCCAATTTTATTTTTAAAGGAAATTTTCGTTATATTATACTACAAAGCACAAAAATTTTTCCGTAACCTATAAATTTCATCATTAATGAAATTTTTGAAAAAAAAAAAAAACCTACCCTTTCAAGGCGATAGGAAAAAAGGGAAAAACATAAAAGTGAAAAAGACAGCTATTTTTACCAGTACAGCGACAGGGAAGGGAGGTGGGAAAAACAGAAAGGTTTTAAAGAATTTTTTGAAATTTTTACGTGGGGCCGGGTTTTTTGGTTTCCTAAATTTGGAAACCCCCACGCTTTGTGCGTTTTTTTTGGGGTATTACCTCATTTAAAGTATATAAATATTGCATGTTACCCCTCTGTTTGTTTTCCCTCCTGTACCACACAAATCTAATACGTGGTTTTTAATTTTTTAAAAAAAAATCGCCCAAAAAAAGAAAAACAAAATGCACCCAGGCAAAAGGAAAATTTCAAAAAACGTAAGCCAAAGAAAACCCCCTTTTAAATAAAAAACAAACCAAAACGGCCGATAGGCCGAACCCAAAACCCAAAGAACTACGGAGATAGAAAAGGGGCCTCCCCATCATAAGGAACGCTTAAAAAGGGCCCCTCCAGTGACGAAAGCAGCCGAAAAATTGGTTCAGAGTACGATAGAAACCCCAAAAACTTTGAAAAAAAAAGAAACGGTGAGTTTCTCCACTGAAGAAGTCATAGTTTTATGATGGGACAGAGTCCCCAAAGTAAAAAAAGGGAAATTAAAAAAATAAGGAAAAGGGGGATTGAAGAAGTACCAAAAAAAGTAGGGATAGTTGTGAATATTTCCGAAATTTTTTTTTGTCCTTTTCGGATAGGGCCTTTTTTATAATACGTTTTATAACCCGGGGGGTATTTTTTTGTCCACAGTTTTTTGT